ACTTCTGCATTAGCTGAGGCTATATCCATCCTTTATATACAGTCAGTGCCACCATTACAATGACTCACAAATATTTGGGTATTTCTTGTGACTTGGTTTAGCCTCTATGGGCAAGAATATATGGACCAGACTCTTTAGACTTTGCATCATATACAATCACATGATTACTCTGTTACATCTGCTTACTGCAGGTAACATCAGTGCCACACGAACCCAACCTTCATTTTCAGCCAGACGATGCCATCGATCAGATGGTTCTCCCCATCGCACCGCCTCCTGCTGAGTTCATGGACAGCCATAACTGTGGAAAGGCCAAAGCCGCCGGGCAGGAGCAACTTCTGGGTTCGGTTCCAGAGGAGGAGGAATCTGACTGGTCAGAGATGGGAGAGGAGACGCCACGGTTAATACTGACAGGATCAAGCAGAGGTCAGACATGGAGACACCAGGAAGGAGACCTGGACAAAGACAGCGAGTCAGGAGGCGAGGAGATTACCAGACGACTCTCTCCGTGCCCCATGCAGATACCTCATTTCCAGTTCACCATCCACAATGAGATCTTATCAACATCCCACACTAACTCTTGCCCTTCCGGTTTCAAGAACCTGTCTGATAGCATAAAGGGAGAGGGAAGCTACAGGATCACAACAAGCCCAAGCCTGGGGTCTGCCATCCTGATCCGGTCAGCTAGCCTGGAGGAAATCCCTCTGGCACGCCATCACATGCAGAAAGAGCTGAGAGGCACGGAGGCCATGATGAACCTGCACCACCCAGGAGACGAAGCTATCGTGGATTCGGATAACGAGATCATTCATCACTGGAGAACAAGCAACAACAGGGACAGCAGGGCTTCTGAGTCGGACAACAGCCTGGCCAGCCTGCAGTCGGCCGAGCGGATGCTCAACCACTTCATATGTGACCCGCAGTCCGGTGAAGGAAGAGAGCTGGGCCGGGCTGAGGTGCACGGCTGGACCGGAGGGATTCCAGACGAGGTGCTGAAAGACGAGCGAACAAAGCTGTGACATGAAGCTTACTGTGTCTGAAATCATAATTTGATGTTTATTCACTGTGGAGGACTGAATGAAGCTCTTTGTCAGTGGTTCGGCCCGGCTCACGTGTAGCTTGACGGGACTTAACCGTAGAATTTAAACCATAATTTACTGAATTTACTTTGATAGCCTGACATTACCACTTTTCAAACGGCACAGTGGGCTCCCTATACTCACAGTTTTAACCACTTATTTATGATTAACATAGCAGACATTGGCTCAGTGTAATCGGAGGCAGAATGAAATATGTGTGTAGTTTAAAAAAATAAAGCTTATATTTGTTCATTTAATGGTAAAATGTAAATGTGTATTTTTGTTGCATAGATGCATATATAAGTAGACATAGCTCCTTTCCTCTTTTCTCATCTGAGCAAAATATTTTTTAAAGTTTTGTTTGCTTTACTGCAAGAGGCATTATGTATTCATATAAGTTGTACTTTTAGCAGAAGTAGCCCCAGTTATGCGAACTGAATGTCTGATGCTTTGAATTATAAGTGTTCTAAAAATGTAAATGTGCCAAAATAGTATTTTCCAGTTTTCCTACCAATTGATTTTCCTGTTGTAAAATATATATATAACAAAAAGTATGCTTACAAATGTAATTATAAAATAGCTTTATGTGCATATACAAAAGTGTTATCTTATATTATGTATGACTTTTTTCCTCTTGTTATGATAACTTGGCAAAACAAATGCATGTAACTCTGTCCATATAACAGCTAATAAACCACCTGAAGAAACAGCAAAACGTCATTTTAACCGCATACATTTGTTTTTTTTCTGATCAGCTTCTCCTGAGAAAGTAGACAGACGCTGCTGTAAGTAGGAGTTCTGTAAATTTGAGGTGAATGGCAGAGGACATTATTAGAAAGTGGAGAATGTTCTGCGGTGAACTAAACTTAGAAAGCCTTTGACACATGGTTTTTTGATGACACACCACTTGTTCAGCAGACAGAACTGACGGAGTCTGGAAAGTCTGAGCCCTCCTCCTTAAAGGGGGGCTGTGATGGTGGGAAGCCGGGTGTCTAGGAGGGTTATCCAGGGATCAGAGCCGCGGTCGTGGTGTCACAAGGATCGACTACTCTTTTATGCATGTGTTGTACGGAACCGGACAATGGACAGAAAAAATTATTTGTAGCTACGTATATTTATTAAAATAAATTGGATTCATGTACAGGTGGGACCCAAGTTTGGAATGACATGAACGTTGAACAGATAATGAGGATGAATCTTAATGATGATGATGATGATGGGTTTACCGATCAAGGTTTGTCAACTAAAACTTCAATACCTGCTCGGGTAACCATATTTTGATTGCCGAAAACCAGGACACTCGGCCTGGCAATGAGATCCTCAAATGATACTCGAAGATGCCTTATGATTTCGACACATTTAAAGTATGCCTCCTCTGTACGGATAGAAAATTGTGATATTACCAAATACTACCTATAACCAAAGACACAAATTCAGATTCTCAGAGGTTACCCGACATGTTTTATTATGACATGAAATAATGATAGAAATAATGTCTGCCCAATGAAAAACAATGAAAACCAGGACTTTTTCATCACTTTATAAAAAACAACCAGGACGGTGAGGACATGACACAAAAACAGGACATGTTCTGGGTAAACAGGGTGTTTGGTCACCACAGAATGGATCAGGTTATATAATAAACTTATATAATTACATGTACCTTTAATTATACATACCTAGTATTGGTTCCTGTATGTTGGTGTGTCCATATGTAGAGTCCAAATCAATTTAAATAGGCAATGAAGCATCTAAATCTGTCCCCCTTGAGATCAGTTTAAATAACTTTGGTGAGCCCTTTCTAATGTAGCGCTATATCTAAATTTATATTTTGTTTTTGCCAAAGCTAATGACATTTCCATAAGTCTCAGCTGTAAATTTGTGTTTAGCGCTACTCAGTAAATGTTAGCAACATACTTTTTCCAAAGTCCTTATAGACTGTTTTGGTAAACACACGTGCTAAACATAAAAATGTTAGCATTGTCATGTGAGCGTCTTAGTATGCTAAAGTTAGCATTTAGCTTAAAGCACCGCTATACCTCACAGGGCTGCCAGCTAGCTAGGCTAACGACTCCTGTTTATGTCTCCTGCATTAGAAACTGTTCAGTTTTATAGTTTAATTCTACCCACATACCACTTCCAATCTCTTTTTTTGTATTTATTTAGAACTTTTTGTGGAAATTCTGGGATAAATGATGCTGTTTTCTGCTGTCGTGCTAGGCCTTGGCTAACGACAGTCAGTGATCTGGAATAACCTCTCTCTTTGTACAAGTTTAGTTTTGTTGCAAAGACGTTATACAGGAGCGACGCAACACTTAAAGAGTCCTGAATAGCCTTTGGAAGAATCCTCTGATGCCACAGATAGATGACACGTGTCCCGCTCCTCCCCGAAAAGGTCAAGCGTCTGATTTATTCCCAGTCAAGCTTGAAAACATCCAGCCAATCATGTTGCACTAATTCAAACATGGTGTCGTGAAACTGTACACATATGTCGTATAACGTAATCGTAGGCCACGGATACTGCCTACGACTACGACCTCAGATCAGACGAGACGACCCGCTGAATTTAAGCGTATTACTAAGCAGAGGAGAAGAAACTAGCAAGCAAAAACACTTTTCAAACCTCATTTCTGAGCAAGAATTCAACTTTTAAAGCCTTTTTTTTTAATATACGATGTGATTGGTGATTCTATAGGTGCAGTTTTTGTGTCTGAGTGATCGGTGCAGTTGCAGTCAGAGCTCTCTTTACAGTCATTTCGACAGGAGCCTGGTCTTATCAGCTCAAAATAACTTCCTCGGGGTGTTACCAGGAGAGAGATGAGAGTGGCCTCGAAGGACTTTGGTAATGCTGAACTGTAGACCGCCATTATCTGTGCTGACTGTAGCAGTGGGAAGGTTCCTGAAGTCGCTTTGAACACTGATGTGTTCATGTATTGTTGTATGCACTGCAGCTCAATTTAAAAGCAATGCCTTCACTTACATTCTGCCTGAAACGTCCATAAATTCTGCAGACAACCCAACATTATGCTATCTTTATCCCTCTGGACTTGTCATGAGCATCACAGGACAATCCACATGTTGTCTGTTTGCCACCACACGTTCCTTTCTGCTTTATCTAAAGAGGACTTTCATCAGTGGGACTTTATTCACTGACTGCAGAAACACACTGGAAACAAACAGTTTGAAAATGAAGAACTTTGAAGTATAATTGATAAGAATACACATCTCATTTATATTTCATGCCTATTTTTCTCATCTTTCCTTGATCTTGAATTTTATTCAGGTTCACGTGTGCAGGTGAGCTTGTGTGTGACACAGATAACGACTTGCATACTAATAATATCCACCTCCCTGTCAGCTCCAATTTACTTTGTCATCCGTGTCCCTGTGTATGAGCGATGGCTGCTGAGCAGACAATGGCCTGGATCCTCAGGCCAGTTTAATAGGATAGGTGGGCATTAGTGATAAGACGCATCCAGGTTTGCCAAATCCAGTGTGCCAAATCCACTGTGTGGCACACTGGACGGTGCACAGTGCTCGGTGGAGCTAACTGGACTTTTTTTCAGCAGTTTTTGGGCATAAAAATAAGGTGAACTTTGGCACAATGTTTAATTAAAGATGCACCACTTGAGACGTAAACCTTCACAGCTTTATTCTTCAAGGACTATCCAGTGACGTCTTGTGACTTTTTCTTGTTTTTTTTCTTGTTGTTATTGTGTTTTAATTGTGCTCGCACTGTTGCTACTCGTATACTTTTCTAATTCAGTGTTTCATTTCTGTCACCTTCCTCTCTAAGCCTCTGGAGTCCAGCCTCTCACCTCTCCTCCTGTCTTGCAGACAAATCACAGCACCGTCCCTCGTCGCCTCGTCGCTCTCCTTCCCCTATTCCCCCGGTGAGGCTCACATTCCTGCGCTGCAACCATGGTGGTGATGAAGATGAAGTTCCCCTTTGAGAAAAGGGTGAAGCTCGCCCAGGGACTGTGGCTCCTGTCCTGGTGTGCCACAGTCGCCGGGGCCACCACCTTCACCCTGGGGTGCGTCCTGAAGACGGAGCTCCGCAGGAGGGCAGAGGTACTGAAAGCTCAACTACAGTGAACCATCTCAAATCAGTGTTGATTATGCATATTCTTTTACATTTAAGTAACATGAGAAAACATTAATTGGCAATGTAATTATGTTTTAATAGCAAAAAAGAGTGATTATAGTGTCACAGAGTACTGAGTAGTTTTGCAGTTTTCATAGTTTCATGTGTGTGTAACTGATGGTGTCCAAGAAATGTTGTAGGAAGACATTAAATTAAATCATAGCTGCCTTCGCTATAATGATAAATGTTGGAAAACAGAACAAAACACAGCAAATGCCACATAAACTAATAAGTGCTAATAAGGTAAAACTCACACTATGCTTTGCAGTAAATACCAACATTCATTGACAATATATTTGTCTTATTATTTAGGATGCAACTGATCATACAATGATTTTCTATTTTGCATGAAGTACGCTTGGAAAATGCTATGCTGTGTAATTTAAACTGTTGGAACGATATTTTTGGGAGAAAACCTGAAAAGGGGGAGAAAAAAAGTGTCTTAAAAGGATAAATTACCTCTGATACATTAAATGGATGTCCTTGTTACAGTAAGTGTAGAACAACAAGTGATAAAAATACACCTGTGACCCACTTTGGGTTCTGACTCATCATTTCATAAACTCGGCTCTGTCAGTCTTAATCATCCTAATCCTACTTCTGAAGGCTGTCATCATAACTTTGCATTATGAAGAAACCTACATGGTTGTTTTT